CCGCCTCATGCTGCTCGAGCCACCGCCTGACGGACTCGAAGGAGTGCCGGATGGTGGAACACTGATCGCGCGTATGCCTATGGCACGCGTGACGCAGGACGAGGTTTGTGGAGGAAAAAACGCAGAAGGTTTGAAGCTCATGGTCTGAAGGAATCGTATCATGCCTGCCTTGTTCAGTATTCACAATGACTAGAACGAGACCACGTGTATGTTGGGTACACATGTGGATGGCATACTGTGGGCTGCAGATGATGGAAAGTCACAGCATCATCGATTCGGTGATAGCAGTGTTTGATACTCACAAGATCAAATCGGATAACTTATGTTATTGCAGTTTAGAAGTTGTTCGAGATGAAGATTTCGCGGTGGGTTTCACGGCCAAGGGCAATATTGATAATATCGAAGCTGTTTCCTATCCTAGAGACAGTCCCATCACGAGAACATGCAGTGTGGGGAGACAGCACAGTCTAGATCGGTCGTAGGTGCTTTGTTATGGGTTGCACGTCAGTGTTAACCTGAGCTATTGTATCGTGTGAGCCGTTTGCAGACAGCAGTGCGTCACCCTAAGGTGCCCCATCTCAAAGAAGCCAGCCGTGTATTAGAAGAGGCAACTCAGTCCGCCAACTGCGGGTTCGTATTTTGAAGGTGGAGCTGTTTAGGGGAATCGAGATATGATCGTTCTTATTGTGATTGACGCCAGCTGGGCAGGATATGGACATTGTCAAGGGTAGTATCGAGCCTCTCAGGTCACGGAGGGCTAGGTTCAATGTGCTCGCAGGGCCTGGATTCATCGAGGGGAACCGTGATCATGTTCACCCTATCTGTATATCTAGTAAAGTGATCAAACGAGTATGTAATTCGACGCTACAGGCAGAGACTCTGGCTTGTTTATGGGGTGTAGAATCTGGTGTGCGCATTCGTGCCGCCATCGCAGATGCGCGTGGAATTCTTGGCGCAGGAAAGAAGCTGCCAACCAATTCGGAAGACAAATCGGCCATGTCTATGAGACACTTATAGATGACGGATTGTGGCAGCCTTGAGGAACACCTAATAGCCCCAACTATGGGTAAGACAGAAGATAAGCGCTTGAGTATCGATTTGGGTAGTTTAAGACAGGACATATAGACTAATGGAACGGAAGAAGTATATATTCTACATCCACGGATGTTTTGTGATACGATCCGATGGATCGGTACAAGTATTATGGCTGTTGATTGTCAGACGAAGAATATGCCTATACGAAGGGATGGGCTCGATTCGGGTCGGTCCAGTTCTGCAGCCGGTTCGGTTTCACTTGGCCAGTTCGGTTTTGACGTCCGTTCGATTTCGGCCGGTTCGGCTTGGGTTTGCCGCTGGTTCGGTTCGGTTCCGGTTTTTGCGCGGTTCGGTCGGACCGGTTCGGTTCGGTTCGATTGGCCGGTCCGATTCGGTTCGGCCCATGGTCGGATGCGACGTCGGGCGCCCCGCGCGCGTAAGCGACGACCCAGTTTGAAAACAAAAAAAGAGGAGGAGGTGGAGGAGGAGGAAGATGATGATGATGAGGAGGAGGAGGTGAAGGAGGAGGAGGAGGAGGAGGAGGAGGAGGAGGGGGAGGAGGAGGAGGAGGAGGAGGAGGAGGAGGACCAGGGGGGTCCAGACCGGGGGGTGCGAACGGGGGGGGTCCGGACCGGGGGTGTTCGGACCAGGGGGGTCCGGGCTGGGGGGGTCCGGACCGGGGAGGTCCGGACCGGGGTGTTTGGACCGGAGGTCCGGACCAGGGGGGTCTGGACCGAAAGGGTCCGAATCGGGCCGAAATGCCCAAAAACAAGTTCATGGTAGTTGTGGGGAAGTTGTGGTATATCATGTTAACTTGACTTTCCAGATCTTAACTTGATTTTCCACATCTGAACTTGATCTGCCAGATCTTACATAACTTGAACGGTGCGCATTGTGGAATATACGGTTTTTTTTGTATAAAAGCCGCGTTTTTCAGCGAACGAGTTGCGGGGAAGTTAGGTTTTGGAGGGGTTCTAGTTGTGGAAGTTGCGTTCTAGTGTTTTTTTTTTTTGTTTTTTTTTTTGTTGTTTTTCTTTTTTTTGTTGTTTCCATTTTTATATATATAAAAATGCTTTGCGAACATAGGCTTTCTACAATTTCTTATTTTCTAAACAGAAAATGCGTTATGTCTGCCCCCATAGCGTTGTATTGATGGTTTGTTTCTCGAGCGGTTTGCGATGCAATCAATCATGCGCTTCGTGCCCCCTTCGTCTCCTCCCTCTCCTCCTTCTCCTCCTTCGCCTTCTCCTCCTTCCAACGTACCAAGCTCCTCCTCCTCCGTCTCCTCCTTCTCCTCGTCCTCATCCTGCTTCTCCTCCTCCTCCTCCTCCTCCTGGAGCCTGGAGCGTGAAGGTCTGTATTTCCTCCAGGATGAGGAGGAGGAGGAGGAGGAGGAGGAGGAGGAGGAGGCCGAGGAGGAGGAGAACGAGGAGGAGGAGAACGAGGAGGAGGAGGAGGAGGAGGAGGAGGAGGGGGAGAAGGGACGAGGAGGAGGAGGAGGGGAGGAGGAGGAGGAGGAGGAGGAGGAGGATTTGTTTCGTTTTTGTTTTTTTTGTTATTTGCATAAACAAACTAAGCAGACAAACAAGAGAGGTTGAATATTGGGGGAAGTTAGGGGATAGAGTGGTTTTTTTTTCAAAAAAACAAGCAAAACATTAGAAGCTGTCTTCCACAACTTCAACCCAACTCCCACAACTTGTCTTGAACTATCAGAATTTGTTTTTGGCCATCTCAGGGGGGGTCCGGACCGCGGGGGTCCGCACCGGGGGGAGGTCCGACCAGGGGGGGCCGTCTGGACCGGGGGGGGTCCAGACCGGGGGGGTCCCGCCAGGACCTGGGGGGTTCGCCGGGGGGGGGTCCGGGGGGGGGGTCTGAAGACCGGGGTCCAGACCGGAAGGGTCTGGACCGGGGGGTCCGTGGAGCGGGGGTGTCCGGACCAGGGGTGTCCGAGCCGGGAGAGCTCGGACCAGGGTTTGCTCGGACCAGGGGGGTCCGGACCGGGGAGATCCGCGCCGGGGGGGTCCGGGCCGGAAGGGCCTCGGGAGGTCCGGACGGGGGGGGTTCAGACCGGGGGGGTCCAGACCGGGGGGGTCCAGGGGGGGGTGTCCAGACCGAGGGGGGGGGGTCTGGACCGGGGATGGGTCCGGACCGGGGAGGGGGTCTGGACTGGGGGGGAGTCCGGACTGGGGGGGGGTCCGGACCGGGGGGGGCTCCAGACCGACGGGTCCGGACCGGGGGGGTGTCCGGACCGGGGGAGGTCCGGACCGGGGCGGGGGTCCAGACCGGGGGGTCCAGATCGGGGGGTCCGGACCGGAGCGGGGGTCCAGACCGGGGGGGTCCGGACCAGGAGGGGTCCAGGCTTGGAGGGTCCGCGGACGGTTTTTTTTGGACCAGGGGAGGTGCGGACAGGGGGGGTCCCGGTCCGGTTTGGTTCCCGTTCGGTTCCGGTCTGGTTCTCGTCGTTTCGGTTCGGGGGCCGCCCCGGTCTGGTTCGATTCCAGTTCTGGTTCGGTTCGGTTTTCTCCGGTTCGGTTCTGAATTCGGTTCGGTCCGGTTCGGTTTTTGATTTTCTTTGTTTATGGCCGGTTCGGTCCGGTTCGGTAACGGGTAACGGTTATCGGTTTTCGGTCCGGCTGGGCCCCTTCATGTTTTTAAGATCGGACGTGTTAGTTCGTATGACGTAAGTCCAGACCTTGAATCTACCTTAGAGAAGGTCAAGAAACAACGTGCGAGGGCCAGAGTGAATGCTATCCCACCGAGGAAGTGAGTGGCAGAGTCCTGCCTGCCTTTGACTTGAGTAATCCCAACATGGGAGTACTCCTTTTACTGCCCCTAGGGGCTTACTGAGACCAGTGGTACTGCGCGGTCTGCCGGCTAGCTCGTGATAGCGTTTCACGGGTGTGAGATAGTGCGTGTGTCACGTGTATATGCGCCACTCGCCGCCGTTTGACCTCTAGGGGTCCCTCTTTGCCATTGCGCTAAGGCTAAAACGCATCATAATCACACTTTACCATACACCACAGTATCTTGGCGCCACGGCGCCACCGCTCCGTTCCCAGAGGGACCGCGCACTGGCGCGCACGCGAGCGTCCGTCCGTCCGTCCATCCGTCTCGTTTTCGGTCGCAAATCATGGGTGCCTTGTATACCCTCTTAATTCCGCCTTCAGCGTCGACTAGAAGCGATGAGCGCTTGGGAGCCGATGAGATAGCCCAATTTAGGGTCGAATAGTGTCGAGCAGCGCCGATTTAACGTGGATCAAGCGTTGATTTAGCGTCGACTAGCGTCAATTCGCAAGAGCCGACAGGATGGTACGGGAGGCCCCCATGAGTTGCCACCGAAGTCCTCCCTCCTCTTTTCTCCTCCTGCCCTTCCGCATGTGGCTACTTCGGTCTTGTAAAGCCCTGCGTCCAACCCAAAACGAAGACGCGCCGCGAGTATGTTTACAGAAGTTCCCCCGGTGAGTTTCCCAAAGCTTGTTCTTTTTTCCAGCTTTTGAGTCACTCTTGTGATGGCGGGAATCCTGGAAATCCGTCCTGCTCTTTCCCCCTGCCCCGCCAGGGCCCTCGGCCTCCTCCTCCTCCTCCTCCTCCTCTTACTTCTCCTCTTCCTTTTTTCCTCCCTCATGCACGATGATGCCTGTATTCACATTTTCCCCCATGCCCGCATGGCGGCCCGAATTTTGTTCGATCGGAACTAAAATTGACTAAACCTCCGCCTCCTCTCTCGTCCTGCTCCTTCCCCTCCTCCTCCTCCTCCTCCTCCTCCTCCTCCTCCTCATCATCCTCTTGCTCTCCTCCTCTCCTCGTCGTTTCGTCCTCCTCTCCTCCTCCTGCTCCTCCTCCTCCTCCTCCTCCTCCTCGTCGTCGTCGTCCTCCTCCTCCTCCTCCTCCTCCTCCTCCTCCTCCTCCTCCTCCTCCTCTCTCGTCCTGCTTTCTCGTCCTACTTTTCCTCCCTGCCCCACCAGGACCTTCGGGCGCGGCCTGGCCCACCCCGCCGAGGGCACGGACGGCGCCGCGCCGCGCCAGGGGGCGCTCGCCCGCAGCGTGCAGGCGTTGGGGGCGACGCTCGGGGGGGGGGCGCGGGCTCAGCCCGGCGGCGAGCGAGCGGGGACGTCTTCGAGGTTCGAGGTGGTGGTGGTGGAGGAAGGGGACGAGGAGGAGGAGGAGGAGGGAGGAGGGAGGAGGGAGGAGGGTGGAGGGAGGGGGATGAGGTGAGGAGGGAGTGGAGGGAGGGAGGGAGGGAGGGAGGGAGGGAGGGGGGGGGAGGGGAGGGAGGGAGGAGGGAGGATTCAGGGAGGAGGGAGGAGGGGAGGAGGGATGATGGGGTGGGAGGGAGGGAGGGAGGGAGGGATGGGAGGAGTAGGAGGGGGGAGGGAGGAGGGAGGGAGGGGGGAGGGAGGGAGGGAGGGAGGGAGGGAGGGAGGGAGGGTGGAGGAGGAGGGAGGAGGAGGAGGAGGAGGAGGAGGAGGAGGAGGAGGAGGAGGATGTTTCGGGCGTTTTCGTCGGTTCGCGGCGGCTCCCTGGCCTCGGAGTGCCTTCCAGCGGCTGCGCCTCGCCGGGGGCGTTCTGGGGGTGTCCGGTTCGTCCCGAGGGGCCGCCGGAGAGCCGAGCGATGACCACAAAGAAAAGCAGGCGTCCGAGAAGGGGCGGGCCTTCTCAGAAGGCTCGGGAGTACCCCAGCCTTCTCAGAAGTTTCCTGAGCCTTCCCCGAAGGCCGAGGAGGGAGGGCTTCCGAGAAGCCCCGCCGCCTTCTGAGAAGGCCTTCTCCTGCTCACTTGCCCCCTCGCTCGCCGCCGATCAGCGTGGGGGGGACGCATCGACCCCCAATCGCCCACTGATCGTCCAAAACGGAGGGTAGCCCGCCCCGCCCAGGAACGTTCGGATTCGCTATCGGGCGCCTAACGCCGATCCATCGGCGATGTGTCGCCGAGTGCAGCTCGATGTTTTCCCCCATGAGTCTGTCCCCCCCTGGCGTGTCCCCTCAGCAGGTGGTGTGGACGGCCCTGCCAGAGGAGCTCCACTCGACGAAGTGGCAGACGGGTGCCGTCGGCCGCTTCGGGCCTCTTGCCCTGACATCCTCGCCGACGGGAGATTCTTGCTAATTTTCGGCCTCCGCTTGCACTTGGCGGGCCTGGGGACCGTCAAAAACGACTCGGCATAAAAAGCCCTTCCTGGGAAAGGGGTTCAGGTATCCGGGGAGCCAGGCTATGCAACAATCACGACGTCGGACATCTGGGTCTGCTTCCGCCCTCCCTTTCGCCGGCGATCCAAAATCAGCAATCGACGATCGAGGATGGACGATCGACGATCAAGGATCGACGATCGAGAGATCGTGCTCCAATCCAATCGATTGCAATCCAATCGATAACAATGCAATCCATTCCATTGCAATCCCCCTCCCTCCGCTCCCTCAGCTCCCTCCCCTCCCCCCCTCCCGCTGTGGATCGAGGGCCGAGATGCTTGGACGTTTGTCATCAGTGGGCCTCCGGGGCCCTCTCTCGTGGCCGCGATGGCCGTGTTCCCTTCAGCGCTGTAGTCAGCAGCGTGTCCCAGGACAGGGCCAGGGGGGTGATCTCTCGACTCCCGAATTATGAAGACAGCGGGTCGTGAGAGGAAGGGGGCCTGCGTTGTTATTCCCCTCGGGCGGATGGCAACGGGAGGTGGCCTCAAGAACTACGAAGACAGCGGGTCGTGAGAGAAAGGGGTCCTGCGTTGTTATTCCTCTCGGGCGGATGGCAACGGGAGGTGGCCCCAATAATTAACGAAGACAGCCGGTTCGTGAGAGAAAGGGGTCCTACGTTTTTATTCCCCTCGGGCGGATGGCAATGGGAGGTGGCCTCAAGAACAGATGAAGACAGCGGGTCGTGAGAGAAAGGGTTCCTGCGTTTTTGTTCCCCTCGGGCGGATGGCAACGGGAGGTGGCCTCAAGAACTATGAAGACAGCGGGTCGTGAGAGAAAGGGGTCCTGCGTTCGTATCCCCCTCGGGCGGGTGGCAACGGGAGGTGGCCCATAGAACTGATGAAGACAGCGGGTCGTGAGAGAAAGGGGTCCTGCGTTTTTGTTCCCCTCGGGCGGATGGCAACGGGAGGTGGCCTCAAGAACTGATGAAGACAGCGGGTCGTGAGAGAAAGGGGTCCTGCGTTTTTGTTCCTCGGGCGGATGGCAACGGGAGGTGGCCTCAAGAACTGATGAAGACAGCGGGTCGTGAGAGAAAGGGGTCCTGCGCTTTTGTTCCCCTCGGGCGGATGGCAACGGGAGGCGGCCTCAAGAACTATGAAGACAGCGGGTCGTGAGAGAAAGGGGTCCTGCGTTTTTGTTCCCCTCGGGCGGATGGCAACGGGCGGTGGCCTCAAGAGCTATGAAGACAGCCGGTTCGTGAGAGAAAGGGGCCCTGCAATTTTATTCCCCTCGGGCGGATGGCAATGGGTGGCGGCCTCAAGAACTATGAAGACAGCGGGTCGTGAGAGAAAGGGTTCCTGCGTTGTTATTCCTCTCGGGCGGATGGCAACGGGAGGTGGCCCCAATAATTAACGAAGACAGCTGGTTCGTGAGAGAAAGGGGTCCTGCGTTTTTATTCCCCTCGGGCGGATGGCAATGGGAGGTGGCCCCAAGAACTAATGAAGACAGCGGGTCGTGAGAGAAAGGGTTCCTGCGTTTTTGTTCCCCTCGGGCGGATGGCAACGGGAGGTGGCCTCAAGAACTATGAAGACAGCGGGTCGTGAGAAAGGGGTCCTGCGTTTTTTATTCCCCTCGGGCGGATGGCAATGGGAGGTGGCCCCAAGAACTAATGAAGACAGCGGGTCGTGAGAGAAAGGGTTCCTGCGTTTTTGTTCCCCTCGGGCGGATGGCAACGGGAGGTGGCCTCAAGAACAGATGAAGACAGCGGGTCGTGAGAGAAAGGGGTCCTGCGTTTTTGTTCCCCTCGGGCGGATGGCAACGGGAGTTGGCCTCAAGAACTATGAAGACAGCGGGTCGTGAGAGAAAGGGGTCCTGCGTTCGTATCCCCCTCGGGCGGATGGCAACGGGAGGTGGCCCCAAGAACTGATGAAGACAGCAGGTCGTGAGAGAAAGGGGCTCTGCGTTGTTATTCCCCTCGGGCGGATGGCAACGGGAGGTGGCCTCAAGAACTATGAAGACAGCGGGTCGTGAGAGAAAGGGGTCCTGCGTTTTTATTCCCCTCGTGCGGATGGCAACGGGAGGTGGCCTCAAGAACTAATGAAGACAGCGGGTCGTGAGAGAAAGGGGTCCTGCGTTGTTATTCCCCTCGGGCGGATGGCAACGGGAGGTGGCCTCAAGAACTAGTGAAGACAGCGGGGTCGTGAGAGAAAGGGGTCCTGCGTTGTTATTCCCCTCGGGCGGATGGCAACGGGAGGTGGCCTCACGAGCTATGAAGACAGCGGGTCGTGAGAGAAAGGGGTCCTGCGGTGTTTATTCCCCTCGGGCGGATGGCAACGGGAGGTGGCCTCAAGAACTATGAAGACAGCGGGTCGTGAGAGAAAGGGGTCCTGCGGTGTTATTCCCCTCGGGCGGATGGCAACGGGGTGCCCCAGAATTTGATGATGAAGACAGCGGGTCGTGAGAGAAAGGGGTCCTGCGTTGTTATTCCCCTCGGGCGGATGGCAACGGGAGGTGGCCTCAAGAACCAATGACGACAGCGGGTCGTGAGAGAAAAGGGGTCCTGCGTTTCTATGCCCCTCGGGCGGATGGCAACGGGAGGTGGCCTCAAGAACTATGAAGACAGCGGGTCGTGAGAGAAAGGGGTCCTGCGCTTTTATTCCCCTCGTGTGGATGGCAACGGGAGGTGGCCTCAAGAACTATGAAGACAGCGGGTCGTGAGAGAAAGGGGTCCTGCGTTTCTATGCCCCTCGGGCGGATGGCAACGGGAGGTGGCCTCAAGAACTAATGAAGACAGCGGGTCGTGAGAGAAAGGGGTCCTGCGTTGTTATTCCCCTCGGGCGGATGGCAACGGGAGGTGGCCTCAAGAACTATGAAGTCAGCGGGTCGTGAGAGAAAGGGTCCTGCGTTGTCATTCCCCTCGGGCGGATGGCAACGGGAGGTGGCCTCAAGAACTAATGAAGACAGCGGGTCGTGAGAGAACGGGGTCCTGCGTTGTTATTCCCCTCGGGCGGATGGCAACGGGAGGTGGCCTCAAGAACTAATGAAGACAGCGAGTCGTGAGAGAAAGGTGTCCTGCGTTGTTATTCCCCTCGGGCGGATGGCAACGGGGGGTGGCCTCAAGAACTATGAAGACAGCGGGTCGTGAGAGAAAGGGGTCCTGCGTTGTTATTCCCCTCGGGCGGATGACAACGGGCGGTGGCCTCAAGAACTAATGAAGACAGCGGGTCGTGAGAGAAAGGGGTCCTGCGTTGTTATTCCCCTCAGGCGGATGGCAACGGGAGGTGGCCTCAAGAACTGATGAAGACAGCGGGTCGTGAGAGAAAGGGGTCCTGCGTTTTTATTCCCCTCGGGCGGATGGCAACGGGAGGTGGCCTCAAGAACTATGAAGACAGCGGGTCGTGAGAGAAAGGGGTCCTGCGTTGTTATTCCCCTCGGGCGGATGGCAACGGGAGGTGGCCTCAAAAACTAATGAAGACAGCGGGTCGTGAGAGAAAGGGGTCCTGCGTTGTCATTCCCCTCGGGCGGATGGCAACGGGAGGTGGCCTCAAAAACTAATGAAGACAGCGGGTCGTGAGAGAAAGGGGTCCTGCGATGTTAGTTATTCACCTCGGGCGGATGACAACGGGAGGTGGCCTCAAGAACTAATGACGACAGCGGGTCGTGAGAGAAAAGGGGTCCTGCGTTTCTATGCCCCTCGGGCGGATGGCAGCGGGAGGTGGCCTCAAGAACTATGAAGACAGCGGGTCGTGAGAGGAAGGGGTCCTGCGCTTTTATTCCCCTCGTGCGGATGGCAACGGGAGGTGGCCTCAAGAACTATGAAGACAGCGGGTCGTGAGAGAAAGGGGT